AACTACGGCCCGGGGGCCGGAACTGCCCCGCCATGGCCATTCATCCAGACCGCCTCAGAGGTTTTCAATGCGCCATGCGTGCGCCCACATGCCACGCCACCGCCCACCTCGCCTGCTGTACGGGGAAGTGGCAGCTTGCTCGTGAGGAGATCGTTTTGGACTCGCTGGGAGAAACCGCCCTCCAAGTGAGCAAGCCGCTGCATCTTACACGCGCCGCTGCATCGTGGCATGTGCCCGCCCCAGCCTTGCCCCCCCCCTCCCTGCGCCCACCCACCTGCGTGCCACGCTGGCACTACCTTTCCGGCCCGCGCCCGGCACCGGCACCTTTCAGCTGGCCCCCTGGTGAAAAAGTTTGAGGACCCCTGCGGTAAACTCTTTTGTGGAATTTCTCGTGGAAGTACATTAAAAAGCTTTGTATCCCATATTGCTAATTAAAGGAGAGATTAAAAATAGAATAAAAAAGAATTTAGATAGATAACTTGAAAAATATTAATCAGGGAAACAACTGGATAGGAAGTGGACAGGGCACCATTAAGAGGTATATGTGTAAAACAATTGGATTTAGTAAAGAAAAGCAAAGAAAGCGTGCGAGATTGGATCAAGAAAATAGTAAGGGAACAATACAAGAATATGGGACAGATTAAAATTAGAACAGAGTTTGAAAGATGGTGGAAAAAGAAGCTTTGGAGATAAATAAAATGATGAGAGATTGTCGCTCTGCACTGTGCAGGTAAAATTTCCAGTGGGGCTGCTCTGTGGTGGAAACATTTCCCCATTTCTTCCTTCTTTCTGCATGGTCTTTTGATTGTTGATGTTTGGAGTGTTCTGTCTGGAAGCACTTTTCAACAAAGAATTAGGGCATCTTTCTCATCTATATCTGGGACACAGTGCTAATCGATATCTGCTTTTGGAGTGAACTTTGGCTTCAGTGCTGTAAATGGTGGGTCATTTACTAAAGGATACTTCCAGGCCAGTATCTGTTCATATATGAGATACATATTTTTAATTTTCATCTTAAAAATAAGAGTCACGTAAACAAGAGGAATACTACATATTGTAGCCTTAAATTGTAATTTGTACTTGTGTTTTATGGGAATTCACAGCTTGTTTGCAGTGAGACTGTTATTTCCTTCTGCAAACAGGACTTTCTCTCATCTTTTATGACTGTGTTTTCAAACAGACCCACGTCAATGAGCTGACCACTGGTGCAGTAGTAAATTTTGATATGTAGGCGCTCATTCTTACAGTCACCAGAGCTGTGTCCCCAGGCAGAGTCTAAGCAAACCAGTTCTAGCAGTTCATCTTCCTTAGGAACAGGCCTTTTAGAAAGCGAATAGATCTTAATTGTCCATTCTAGACACTGATGTGAGTTTCCTGGAGAATTTTCTAACAGATTACATTAATAAGGTCTTTTGCACAGGGATTTTTTTTTTGTTTGTTTTTTGGTATGCATCCGAAAATGATGTGATGCCCTAGAAAGAACTAATTTAGTGTGTTTATTTTACTTTTATTTAATAAACATCAGACCTAAGAAAGGTGCCACATACTATGTACTGCAGGTATTTGAGCAGAAATATAGCAGGGAAAAATCAAGCACGCATAATGTTATTTAAGTATTATACTCCGTAGACCAGGGGTCTCAGACTCGCAGCCCGAGGGCCAATTGCAGCCTGTGGGATGATATTTTGTGGCCCCCACTTGATATCAAAGTTTAGTGATAGTGCGGCCTGTGCATTTTTCTCACACGCACCTGCGTGAGTCGTTACCCTGGGCGCAATGTTCCCTCTAAGAATTTGATCACAGGTTTGCAGATTTCAAGACACACAGAGCCACTTTTCAAATTTTTGCTGACCCCTTCTTCGATGTGGAAGATGTCCCCCCTGTGCTTCAAATGGAGCTAATTGACCTGCAGTGCAGTTCTGAACTCAAAGCCAAGGTCAGGGAGGTGAGTGGAAAAGCGGACAAGCTTGGACAATTTTTGAGAGAATTGCCCCTTACCTTCCCTGAGCTTTCCAGGATGTTCAAGCCAACCATGTGCCTTTTTGGGAGCACCTATCTGTGTGAAAAGCTCTTCTCCACCATGAACTTTAATAAGTCAAAGTTCAGGTCCAAACTTACTGATGAGCATCTTCAAGCCATCCTGAGGGTCTCAGTTGCTTCCTTCCTCAAGCCAAATGTGGCTCAGCTGTGTAAGAGGAAGTGCTGTCAGGTCTCTGGCAGCAAGGAGTAGGAGGAAGTAAGAGAAGCCTATGTTCTGAAGAACCGTTCATGTTCTGAATTATTATTAGTAAAGATTGAGAAGATTGGATCAGTTGTACTTTTTGTGGAATACTTGATGCGGCCCAGCCTCACCCAGACTCTACTTCCAGCGGCCCCCAGGTAAGTTGAGTTTGAGACCCCTGCCGTAGACATTTATATCAGAATACTTACAAATGTAAAGGCACTTACACTGCTCTGTATCCAATGCTGCACTGTGGCTCCTCCAATTCTGTTGTGTGAGCAGGATGTGCTGTTTGCACAATGAATATTTACCACTTCAGGAGCAACAGGAGACAAGTGGAATTGCTTGTTCCTAGAAGAGAGTTTCTGGTCGGGGTGCTCTCATAAGGGAGCTCTGTCATCCTGTCCTGATCCGGAACTGAGTATTTGTGCTAAATTTCAGGGCTTCCTATAGGAAGTGTTAAATCTCTGTTATGAAAGTGGTGGGTTCCAGTAGCATATATCTCCCTTAAATTGTTTAAATTTTAGGGGAAAAAACAAAGTACGTAAAAACTGTTGACACTGTAATTAATTTGGTAATGCAAAGAACCGGGGGCTGCAGCAACTCTTCTGCGAGGAATGGCTACAACTGTTTAGCTTAGAAAATGTTGAGTAAGGAGAGAGGCGTAGAGGATGGAGGTGTTTAAAATAACGCATGGCAGGGGGAAATGGAGAGGGAGACATTTTTCTTCCACTAGTATAGCACTCGAACTGGGGTCATCCCATGAAGCTGATTGCTGGAAGGTTTAGGACAGACAAAAGGAAGTACTTTATCATGCAACATATAATTGGACTATGGAATTCTCTGCCATAGAAAGTGGTGACAATCTCGGTTTTCAATTCGTGTGGAAATGAACACAGTCTGTGGGAAAGCTCAAATGTTTGAACCTCTGCTGCTTTATTGACCAGTGCCCCAGTACCTGCAGTCACCAAGGATAATATATTACCAGGTAGAGGAAACTCAACTACAAAATCACAGCCCATGTACAGACACTTTTATAACCTGCTAGTCACGTACACCAATACAGAGTGTTGAGTTTCCAGATAATTTCAGTACAATAGCATCCTATTGCCTCACAAATGGAAAACTGAGATTCTGTCACCCAACCCCCTCCTTCCAAAACTATGGCATCTCTCTCCAACTTAAAAATGCTTCTTCCCCTCTGAACAAAATTTGCTCTGCTTTTTCAAGCATTCCCAATTGTCTCTTGTCTTCTTGCTCCAAGAATCAACTAGCTGAAAGGCATGAGGAACTGAAATACATGTATATTAGAAGTAAATTAGATTATTTTCAATGGCTTTACTCCCAGTTAAATCATTTTGACCTCAGTGGAACTAACTTGTGGAAAGTTTGCAAGGGAAGGGGCTGTACTTACTTGCTTTTGGGTGGGAGGGGAATGGGCCCACTGGCTTTACCCCCTGGGGTGGGAGGATAGAAGCAAAAGCACCGCTCTTTCTCCTTCTCCCTATTTTTTTTTTGTAAGGGGACTGGAGCAACTGTCAGTTATTTTGCTTCTTTTTCTAAATATTTTTGCTTTTTTGTTTCTTTGCACATAGCAAATTGTACGAAACCTGCTGGGCTTGGGGGCACTTTCAGCAAAGTAACTTTTTCAGCTCCTTCAACTTCTCTGTGTTCCCTCGTAAACTTCCCTCAAAAATGAAGGGGGAATAGATTTCCCCTGTGTTGAGATTGCCCTCAGGAGAGAAGCTGCTAACTCTATTGTTCCACAACCTTCATTTTCTGGAAGCTGCTCACTCTTCCTTTCAGCTCCTGCATCCATGACAAAAACAGAGATTGGGAATTGCATTCATACCATGTCATGCAATTCTGTCAGCATCCATCCTGCCCTGTCCTTAGAACAGAAGAGGCCTTATTCACATTAGTATTGTTTATATGTGGACACGTATTGCTGGTCAAGTGAAGGTTCTGGGGCTGAATTGGAGGTTTTCTTCCTTCCAACAAACTTCTGTGCTTTCTGTTCTGTTTGACAGTGTCCTAGTAAGGTTTCAGAAGTTTTCAGGGCTGTGCTCTTAAGATATGTGTTTCGTTTCTTTTATTTAGCATTGTAATGACTAGACCTGTTACTTTCTACCCAGACCGGAAGAGTATTACTCCATGTATTAGCTTTTTCTGTGATTTGCTCTTTTTTGGGTGAAAAAAGAATTCCTGTTCTTTGAACTAGCATTTACTAATTTCAATTTTTTTAACCACCATCAATACACTCCCACTTATTTCTTTAACACTGATACGTTGAATGCTTCCTGTTGTTTTCCCTGTTTGTGGATTGTCGTTACTGGCCATAAAACACCTTTCAGATTTTTCCTTCTTTACAGATTATTTGCTTTGGGTAGGTCATCAGACAGAGAACAACAACACACTGTGCGTTCAAACAATTGCTAACTGGGCTTTTAATGTAATGGGACATCAGTATCATATTTGACTTTACAAGACCTTGCTCCCCATGCAGAACTTGTGCTTCAATGGTTGCATTTATAAAGACCTAAAAAAATAAGTTGTAACTTTTGTCCCCATGCAGTGAGTGAGCTGAGCTCTGTCTATTGTTGTTGTTTTTTTTAATTTGTTTTTGGTACAATACACTCATTGTCATGTGACTTGCTTTCATTGGTTAAAATGTACTTATTGTTGGGCCATGCACTGTAATGCTTATAAATAATGTCAGATGTTTATGACATGTTAATTTATAGCTTCTTCCTTTTCCTTCCCTTAATGATAAATGTAGGGGCTGTGTATGGACATGAGGCATTAACTGGAAGCACAAAACTTCAGCCCTTTCATCTTGCACTCTCTCCTGCTTATGATGGAAACCAAGGAAGAAAAAAAAGAACGAAGGCAAGGTTACTTTGCCCGGTAAGCCCACGCTGTTTATTCAGTTGATTTAAATTAATAGGGATTTGTGGGTATTTCCTATATAGGTGATGTGTTTTACTGTTTTGTTTTTGAAAATTGTATCTTCATTTCTATACTAGCTGACCATGACATAGGTTATTGCTCTAGCTCTGAATTTACCTTCAAAGTTATCTGAATCTATTCTGTTTTATTAGCTGTGTATGTTGAACCTGGACTTTGGGATCCTAGTTTCGGCTTAACTTCGATCCTAGTTTCGGTATGTTGAACCTGGACTTTGGGATCCTAGTTTCGGCTTAACACCCTATTAGAATGAAAACTGCACATTTTTTGGAAGAGTGTAGTGAATAAGAACTACTACTGTATATAATTATGATATAGTTCCAGAAGCCTCCAGCTATGAACTAATGTTAAAATGAGCATACCAGTGAAATCTTTCATAGAAGAAACTGGCCAGGCGCAAAGGAAATAAGGTCAAGCTTCTGAGATTAGATATTAATTTGGAATGACACAATTGGCAACTGGACACTCCATACATTGTTGCAAATTATTCCAGTAAAATACCTAGTCTGCAGCTTCAGGAGGGACCCCGCATTAGGATGGTAACAGCAACCAGTTATTATGCACAGAGAGCTCCAAATTGACATGTGGCCGGGGTGGGGGGGGGGGAGTCAATTACCTGCAAGCTTAGGCAGTGAGGTAAGCCAAGCCTCCTTGACACTCCTGCAACTGTGGAAAAGCAGGATGTGTGCAAATGCTCGGCGCAAGAAATGACTGGAGACTGCAAACAGTCGGCTTGCCATGTAGTTACAGTCGCTGCTTTGTATGTTCGTAAGCAGCAATGTAGTAGGCAACCACAAGTGCTCATTGTGGCAGCCCTTGTAGCTACACACACCAAAAGACTCCAAATTGCAGGTAGCTGTGTTGATCCAGATCAACAGACCCATTCTACTGGTTTTCATTTCCTCAGGACCAGGTCTTAGGTAAACCTTATTGTCCATTCGGAACCAAGCCACACCAAAATACTTGGCATTACACAGGGAACAGTCTGTTGTTGCTGGAAAACCATTTCCCCTCAGATACTGTGTGGACTGCAGCTAAGCTCAGAGGAAATGGGATCCTGAGCGGGTGGCAGATCAGATGAGTATCCCTCCTAACAAAACAGTGCTATTGCTGTCTTTAGGTTTGCTCTGGTTCCACTACACCACTGCTTATATGCTGCACAGCCAGTCAGCCATCAGTTTCTCCTCCTTTGAGGCTCAGGGTCAAAGGGCTGTTATGCTAGTGTTAGTACAGGGCCCCTGATCCAGATCGGGACCCTGATTTGGATTTAATCATTATTTGGAGCTGTACATTGGAGGTCCAGAGCTCCCACAATCCAGACTGGAATTGCAGTAGGGGAAAGGGTTAAAGTTTCCCTATTTCCCACAGTAGTGCACCAATCTAGATTTGCTGCTTACATTATGCTAAACACATAGAAAGTATGTGATTGCTTGCAACATCTTTAAAATAATGTCTGTTTTGGCTCCCAGTTTCTCCAATACTGATGTTTAGGAGCAACAGTATAACTTTATATGCTACCCTTCTCTCCATTATTTTCTGGGTGTATATAGATGGCAGTTTTTTCTATGCTGATACCAGACATGTGCCACCATGCCAGTTTTCTTGCTTCCTGCTTATGCACCTTGCTTCTCATTTTGGGAAATTTAGATTCAAAACATACAGTTTTAAAAATGCAAAGCAGATACATATGTGAAGCTGCCTGGCAGCATCAGAATCTGCAATTTCTTCATTATAATGTGCAGTGCTCTTCCCTGCACATACAAATGCCCATGTCAAGTGTGTGATTCCTGTTGTTTTCAGAAAAATACTTAGAGAAAGTTTTGGAAAAAGTCAGGGGGAAAATGTAAGTGGAAAATGGGCACACTCTGATGTAGTAAAAAGACAAACAAAGGTGCTTTCATTCAAGATGCATTCATATGGGCTTCTTGCATTTGACAGATTATATGTTGTTACATTTTTCTCATTTTTTTCAGCTGTATAGCTTCACTAAACAATCAGAAAATGTCTTGGAATTTACTTTCTTTACAAGATTTGTTTGCTTTGTTTTCCCCAACATTTTTCTGCCTCCCTTCCCACCCCTTTTTGTTATTGTAGACTGGAGTAATTTCTAGTTTTGTAAGCAGAAGTGCTGCATACTGTAAATATCGTTTTATCAGTTACACTTTGTTTTTTCCCCTTCAGTTAACACTTCAGTTAACGTGGAATAATAGGTCTGTTGCAGAAGAAGGGCCAGTGGCAAGGGCGCTGGACCTTGGACCAGGACACTAGACTGAGGCTAACCTAGCAGTGTGAGAGCTGCTTTGGACTGTGGATGTGCAGGACCTGGAGCCCTCTTCATAGACTCATAGATTTCAAGGGGCATTGTGGGTCATTTCTTGCTCAGTACAGGAAATCCAGAGCTAGAGCTCCTACAACAAATGACTTGTAGGTATCCAGGAAAGTGTAGGAATTGGGCCAATTGTTCTTGCCTACAAGAGATGTGGGAACAGATGGTAAGCCAGGCAAGGAGGAAGGTTGGATTCCACCACTGAGATGGCAAGGCCAGGGGACTCAGGGATCAGCCAGGCAGTTGCTGGGAATGAGTCACCTTCAAATAGCTTAGGAAAGGTAGTTCAAGGATCACTACACCCTCTTCAGCTGACAAGGCAAGGTGCAGATCATCTGACAAGCGTCTGGTATTCCAAGAGCTTATCCCTGTGAGGCAGGCATTGTTAGCTTGGGCTTGGAAGGAAGCCGTTTGGAATCAACTTCTTGACAATAGGTCACCCTTCCTTAATAGCTAGTCTTCTAAACTAAACATATCCCTTTGTGATTGATTTCTGCAGTATGCTTTATTTTTACTTTTAAGCCAGTTTGATTGGCTTGCATTAACTTAATTGAGCTTTTTAGTTAGAGAGCCATTGTCTGGATCTATTTGAGAGGAAGAGGAAGAAGTACAGCCTTGACACAAAGGAGAATTCACCACTCACCTAAGTAATTAGCTCCATTAGGCGGAATCCAACAGAGTGCTTATGCCTCTGCTGATTTGTGACACAAGATACTAATTGCATTGTGTGAGAAGCTCTAACTGCTTGGGGAGAGGCTATTTAGCCTTTCTAGAGCAAGCTGAATGGGTGGAAACACTTGTTTCTGGGAGGAGGCAGGTCAACCCACTCACACAGAAAATGGTTCTGTACATTTCAGATTTCCTCTAGGAAGTGCTAAGTCTCCCTTGCACAAGCAAAAGCTACCTATTACACTGCAGAATTGGTGGGACCTACCATTGCAGAAGGGGATTTGAGGGTGCCTAAGTGCCTGTTTACATTCTGATCACTGTTGAATTTAAGACTACTTTCTCACTGCTATTGTTACGAGTTGCTATGGCTTGCCCATTACCATTCTCATAATTGCTGCCACATGCTTGCATGACATGCAGAAGGCAGTGAACCAGCAGGCCGTAGTATCTACTCCTCTTTCCCATTACTGTTGAGTAAGAGGCAAGTGAGCAAGCAGATGCCATGGTGAAATGGGAGAGCAAGTCCAGGGAGCCCTTGCTGGTGTTTCCTTCTTGGAGGTAGGCTCTCAACTGGTGGCCAATCCAGTCTACCCTTGGCCTTTCTTACAGATGTGACTATGACTGGAAGTGCAATGAAAAGTACTTCTGAAGAAGTAACTATCAATGAGAAAAAATGACCTCAAAACCAGAATCACACCAGTGAAAGTGCCTTTGTCAATGAGCTTAGTAAATAAATGGTAGGCTATTAAATAATACATTATTGAGTATTTCAAAGAAACTGTTTTTTGTGTGTGGGGGAACATCCAGCACCATCGTTTTGATGGATTGTCTTTCTCTGCAGCCTCTGGTGATGCTATTGATCGTATTGCAAGAAAAAAACCAAACAGTTCCCTCTCTTGCTGGAAACATTGCTTTAGAATTAAGACCAAAAAAAGAGGAAAGCATGGGGCGGGGGAAGAATTGACTGGCCTTTGGCTTTCAGAAGTAGGGCACTAAGGATGTGACTTAAAAATCTTTGTTCCTCTTTTCACTTGGGTGATGATTTATGGCACAGGACAGACTTATCTGTCCGGGTTCTGCAAAGGCAGGTCTTGTTAATGGGACTGAGAGACTTTGTTCAATAGTTATAAATGCAAATAGCAAGTTGTTCCTTATAGCAATGCATTGTAAAATTGTGTGTTTCTCTTCTGTTTCACTTCCCCAGTACACGTCTGTGAAACTCTGGCCCAGCTTTGCACTCCTATTTTCCATCAGCATGCAAAGTAGAAACTACTTTCCAGTGTCCTGTTGTATTCTACTGTAAGGGTGCCCACAACCACTTGCAGCCTGAGGGCTAAATTCCATTTAGGAAATTGGGGGAGGGGGTGTATTCAAACCAACAAGGGGCAAGCTTCTCAAACACATAATACCAGCATATTTTAGCTTGATGGTTTTACTGCTAGTAATTAAGCCTTTGTAGAGGCATTTCACCTTTCTAGAATGGGGGGAAAATACAACCTAAGAGCAGTGGGTGAAAGGTTTCCTCACTATGGATTGAAGAGGTGGTTGTGTGGTGCCCTCTCTGATTATTCCCCTGGCTTCAGCATAGTGGTGTAGATCTGAAGGAACACCTGGCATTGGCAGCTAACATCTCAGGCTGTCTCTGAAAAAGTTTTGGAGGCCTCTTCTCTGCCTTAAACCTAAGCTGGACCACTCTGACAGCTTAGATGTAAGGCAGTGCTTTTCTCAGCAGTCAACAGCTGGCTGTGCTTCACAGCATTTTCTTACACAAAGTGGGTGAAAAGTACACAGATCTCTTCCCCCACTGAAAATTCGATAAAAGTCCTTAGCAACACAGATAGCTTTGACGTACTAGAGGATGCAGCAAGGCCTACCAAAATCTCCACCAGCTTAGCAACAAGCGGGGAGGAGCACCAAACACAAAGTGCTGTTTCTATCCCCCATG